CCTCATGACATTGTAAGAATCCACCGGGCCTGGGCAAAACAACCAATCAGAGCTGTGAAAGACAGTTGATTGAGTCTCATTCCCACAGTCCCTGAGCGTCTGTATTTGATGCCCTAGGAATGAGGCTTTATTTTTCTAAAACTGACCTACTGCAGCTGTAATGCATTAAATAATGCAGGATGTATCATACTTCCTGTTGCTCACACTTACAAACGATAAAATCACTATGATCAATGATCTTTTTTTTTTCTTTTTTCGATTATTTCACACAGATGTTAGGTTTATATGTATTTACTAACTTACACTAAGCTCCCCTGCTTTCATTAACACAAATACAAAAAACAACTTGTGTTTCACTCACAATGTTGTAAACATGTCATACCCTTGGGTCTATTCCCTGAGAAAATGCATGGCCCTGAAATATAAACCTTTATGTAAGAAGAATCCATCTAATTGGTCGCATATGAATTGTGTGAACTAATCACATAAAGTCATAGTGACTTGATAATTTGTTAGTGGTCAGCAACAGGAAGGTCTTAAATGATCATGACTAAGTCTATGATTTGTACCCTTATTATATGTTTTGCTGCATTTTGAAAGTGTTAAATGTGACTCTGCAGTAATGTGTGTAACCTTGTCTTCTGAGGTCAGAGGTGAACTCTTGCTGACTGCACGTCGGTCTGTAAATCCGTGCTTTAGCATGCTGAGGGTCTGTTCAGGGTATTGTCTCATCAGGTCACACCCTGTGAGTACACTGAGTGGAAATCTATAGTTGCCTTAAGAGTGTCAACCATCTCACATATGTAAACACTAGCTGCACAAGCTGATTGACTGCCTCTGTGTGTGTGTGTGTGTGTGCGCAGCCCTTCTCTTCCCAGAAACAGTTCTAACGGTTCAAGATGACGACTTCATGGAGCGACCGTCTGCAGAACTATGCCGACCTTCCAGCCAACATGGATGGCGTGGCCATGAAGAAGTATCGACGTGAAGCTCACCACAGGTACGTGTTCCTCAGCCTGCTGAAAGAGTGCTGCTGAAGTTTTAAACATGGGCCAGTCCTGCTCCTGATTCACCAGTCTTACAGTCAGTCTGCCAGTGTCTGGTGTGCTCCTGTCTGCGTCTCCTAACTGGGGGTGTGCTGACTGCTCTCTATGGTTATACACTGACTATGGATAAGTACCATAGTCACTGGATTTCCACTAACTATCAGTATACTATAAGTCAGTAATAGAGAAATTATAAACCTGCAAAATTGCAAGCTGATTCAAAGTGTGTCAGATATGGCTGCTCCTTTCCTTCCAGGCAACAATAGAGCAGTGTTATCATTATGGTGTTCATAAAAGTAAGTGTTCAAAAATTGTCCATGCATCAAGAAAAGCTAAAAAAACTCAAATCAGTGCAGCAAGCACAATTTTTATTACGTAGTTTTCTTGCCTTTAAATGTCGTACAAGCCTTTCCTGACTAGATATGTGAAAAAATACCAAGAGACCAATTCTCCCAACAGTTTCAACATCCATATTCAGAGCCATTGTCTCCAGCCATCCTTATCTTTGACGCAGGATGCACACAATGTCATGTTTTGTGTGTAATTATTGGGCCCATTTTTGCTCAGTTGCAGCTTTGAGTCATGTTTGCTGTATGTTGTTGTCTGTTTATTTTGTTTAATACTGTTTTATGTTTGCTGTTTTACATTATTTGATTTGTGCCCAAAGACTATATTTTTTAAAAATTGCATAAAATTGTTCCGATTGGTCTACAGTCTCTAAATCATGGGGCTACTGTTTTCGCCTTAAAAATCCTTCTTGATTTTAAGGGGTGTAAGAAAACTTATTTTTAAAGTTTATATTATTATTCAAGATCTATACTTTGAAGACCTGAACACAACCTATATTCAGAGCCTTCACTCTCTGATAAACAGCTTTATCCAAATCTCTGGTTTTACACAAACTTCCTGCAGTTATTGTGTTCACTGTTTGGGTTCCTTGTACAGTTTATTGGCTGTTATTGTTACAAATTGAATATAATATAAAATATACATATCATATATGGATCTAGCTCTAGAATAAGCAGTAAAACATTGTGTGGGATTTTTTATTTTGACACACCTGCGAGGGGCTCCTAACTGTATATTCCATAGAAATAATAGTTGCACAGAACTAGTCATACAGCAGGTGAAAACATTCACTTGAGGAGCCATTTTCCATTAGTCCGATGCATGTGTGAGAGGCTCTTAGATGTGTTTGAGAGTCAGTAGTTCAAGATCTGAGGTTTAATAGAAGCAGACAGACGTACTTCCTGAAAATACAGTACATTACAAACCATATGGAATATATAGATATTAGCTCCTCACGTGTGTACTGAATATAATACAAATCCCTTTGTTTGTATTGCTTGTTCAAGGGCATCTACCATGTGAGGGGAAAGTATAGTCTAAAAATGAGGTTAATAAGTCACAAAAATCTGTCACAAAACTAATTCTGTTGCTTCAATGACATCAGAGTTTGTTCTCACTAAAACTGCCACATGATTGAAAACAACTCTGTTCACAGTGTGTCTGTAGCTGCTTACTATGATGTTAAAGGGGGGGGGGGACTTGATACAACCAGCCCCATCCCCAGTGAAGAAAGGGGGTTGGATGCTTTTTGGTTCTAGTAATCTCATTTGGAAGGGTCTTGACATGACAATATGCAGCTATTTTTAAGCTCTTGCTGCAAGCAGCTGTGTGCTAATACAGGAATTTACTCCACTGCAAGAGGAAACAGAACTACAAGTCAGTGTCTGACTGAAACCCGTAAAGCAGCTACAGCTGTTGTTTGTTTGCTGATCATTCTGTCCAATAATTAATAAAAATGGTTTAATAATTACAATTATGTATTTCCTAATAATACTGCTACTACTGATTATTATTATACTTATTGGCCTTTCTCTGTATCTGTATCGTAGAACTGCAGTACTATTATGTACCAACCACAGTGTCTCCATAGCACCAGTATCAAAACCGAAAACTGACTTGTTAAAAAAAAAAACTTGTTAACTTATTCTTTAATAAAATAGTTCCTGATTTAAATCAAAATGTACTAGTATTATATTTAGGCAAAGTTCTCGTACAACATAAACAGCTTTGGCTTCTTTCGTTCGATGAGTAAAAGGGTTTTGTCAAAAAACATGTTTGTCAAAGTAAGCTATCAAGTATTACTTTGAGATTTTTTAAGGAAACTTGGGTATCATAAGAAAATGAAGAAGTTTCATTAAATAAGCCCTGTATAATGTCCACTCAAGGTCTGCTTTCAGCCATATCACACAGTCTTGGACTTTGCTCAGGGATCATGCAACTGTAGATGTTGGGACTTCCTGAGCACTTTAAGGACCACGCTGCGAGAGAGTGTGACACTATGACTCTAGTTTTACATACAGAATAGTTGTTTGCTGCTATAGGTTACATAAAGCCTATTAAATAATGCTTTGAAATGTCCAGTGTGTTTATGTTGACTTTTGTATGTGTGAGACTTTAATATGATAGCAGGTAGTAGGGACAGGTCTTATTACTGGTGCTGGGATATAACAGGGTCCTGAGTTGCAGTAGAACATAGATTACTCACTGACTCAAGACTGTAGAGCAGAGCCATGGAGCAGGACATCAGTGTTAAGACCAGCAGCCCAGAGTTCAGTGGTAATACTGCATGTATTCTCTATTACAAAGCTTTCCAAAGGATCTGGCTCAAAACCATCCTGCAATGAGGTATGCCATCCTTTTGTTGTTGAACAAAACTGCGACTACTGACTAAATGACTCTTCCGTTTTGATGTCCATGATGTGAATTGATTCTCCATCCAACTCTCATGGAACTCCATCCATACTGACACTGACTGTGAGTTGGGTTTCTTCTTGTGGAGACTTCTTCCAGCTGGTGGTCATTGTGATTTCTTAGTGTGAGCTCCTTCTGTTGCATTTCCCTTTTTCCTACATCTTTCCTTTAATCCTCATCTGTTACGGTCAATCTGATATCATCTCTCACACCATCTGAATAGAAACTCAAGGCCAGTGTGCAGTCTGAGCAGAGTCGCTTATATGTTGCAGTCAGCAATGTAAAAGACGCGAGAAGGTGCTATTTTTGTGTGAGTTTTGCTGTTGACGTGGATTATTGCCAGGCAGCAACTCTGTGAGAATGTACAACTGATGAAGATTAAAGATGAATAGAAAGTTCACATAAATCATATTTGGCGGTTTGTGGCCCTGAGAAACCAGTGAAAAATCTGGTGATCCATTTTCTAAATATTTTTTCTCCTGTGTTTATAATTTTTCTTTTCTTTTAAAAAACCTAGAAAAATAGAAAGGGGTTTACGAAAAAAGAGAGAAAGGTAAATTGTGCTGGAAATATACATATGGGACGTTTTAAATAACCAACAATCAAAAACACAGAGTTTACATGTTGATAGTGGCTGTAGGAGGGCGAGAGTGTGGGGGATAAAAAATTAAATAAATTAATATAACAAAAAAACAACTGCTTATTCAATTAGTATTATCAGCGAATAGTGACATAAAGTACATTATGAGAATACAGACAATATAAATATTACAAAATACATTGTTATTGTTGTATAGTAGTATTTATAATTTAAGAGTGTGTGAGAAAAAAGTTTTGCCTGAAAGAGTTGTTGTTGTAATACTCATTTCAGCCACAAGAGGCTGAAGTGCACCACTACCACATGGTCTAAATCAGCATAAAAGCATTCATGTTTTCTTCTAGATGAGTTTTAATTACTCAATGCATTCTAAGCGCAACACTCATGTACAGTATAACTAATGCTAACGGCAGATTAGCGCCAATTAAAATGCCATAACAATATATGTACCTTGTGTTTAGAGTGTGTCGAGAAATTAAAACTCACCTGTAAGAAAGTACCCGTTTTACCTTTTACCTGTTGGGGGAAAAAAATGAAGAAAAAGCAAAACCCTTTTCCCAACAAAACAATTTGGATCAGACCTAGAAAATGGATCAGCAGTTTTCACAATTTCCTCTCAGGGCCTCTGTAGGTTAGGGCTGACTTTTTCTCACACTGCCAAGTACAGAGCTGAGACAATGAATGGATTTATAGATCAATGGACAAACAATGAAATGTCAGCTATGTTAGTAATTGATCAGTCAGTTAATCCATTTATCAAACAACAATGCAATACATTCTTTGATTCCAGCAAGATTTTGTGCTTTTCTCTGTTATTACTGTAAACTAACCTGTATCTTTGAGTTTTGGACTGTAACAAAAGATCAAACGATTAATCAGATGTTATTATTATATTATTCTACAGAATTACTGATAATGGAAATAAGTTGGATCTGGAATCAAATGCTTGGTAGGATTTTTAGTTTGTTGTTTGATTATATACTCTGAGGTTTGTTTTTGCCACCTAGCTAAAACTAATGCAATCTAGTTAGTATTTTTTATAGTATTCTTTTGTTTTAAAGAGGGGTTAATTAAAATATATGGGCATTTTGAAAGTCTGTAGTTTGTGGTGCTGTTGAATTGGTATTGTGTTATACAGAGACATATTTCTAGTATTTAATCTGACCTATTTATATCAGTGAAGGTAGGATGTACATATACTGATCACACCTTATTTGGTGTCAAATCATGAGCAAGATAGTGGTGGGTCTGGGTGTAGCACAAATGACCTTAATGTTGAGTTCAGACATGGAACATCCTTCTGTGTAATGGACATTTTCTGTTTTATTTTTACATTTCTTTGACTCTCAATTCTGACTTTTAGGAGAATTGCAACATGTGATGACCAGAAATCACACAAGCTCACTGTTTGACGACAACCAGGCTATTGGCAGGGCTAAGAGGATTGATTTCAGATGCACTGCTCACTGTATAAATAACCAGTTGGATTGCATGTATGTTGGTGTTGTGCTTGTTAAGTTTTATTTCATGGTAGTTCCCCTCAAACAGCCTGTCATGCATCAAAACCTGACCTCAGTTGAGTTTTTGCTCCTGTAGCTCTAGCTCTGATCATTTTCAGTATTTATGGAAAAAATGTTACACCAAACTGATTTATCTACTGTATGTACTTTATGTACTGTGAGTTAGATGTGTTTTGTAGGAAGTCTGAGACTTCAGCATTTCATCTGCCAGCTTTCACGTATTGCACTGACCACACATTGTTCCCCCTCTCAGAGTGTTTGTCAACCGGAGCTTGGCCATGGAGAAGATCAAGTGCTTTGGGTTTGATATGGATTACACTCTGGCAGGTAAGTGCAGTGTGAGTGGCGTGGTATCAGCCTTGATCAATACACAATGTTCAAACTGTAGTGGCTACAGCCTACATCCAACTCAATCATTCTCACTGATACAGTTCAGTGGGTAAAGTGGAATCTGATGGAAAAATGACATACATCCATACATCCCACCTTTTCAGCCCCAGTGTCTTTCTATCTTTCTTGGCTCT